TTTTTTTTTTTTCTTCCTTACCTCATTGAGCTTATCAGCAAAAGCTGCTACATCACCCCCATATTTTTTAACTATATAGATGAGGACTCCCACTACGCAGGCACCTGCAACTGTTTCATGGTTGATTATATAGATTTCCTTGGAGAGAAAGTAGCACAGTAGCCCAGTCCCCAGCACATAGGGCCCTAAAATAGATAAAAGGATACTGTTTTAAATACATCACTTGGAAACAGACCCATTCCAAGTTCAGTTGGCTGAAAGCAGAGCTAGGCATTTTAATTTTTTTAAGTTGCATAGGAATATTGAGGGACTTGTCACTCCTCTCCAAAAAAGGACGACTCAGGTAGAAGAACCAGATAGAGGAAACTCCATCTTACACCATTCCCAGAGATATACTGCTATATGAAGATTTCCATCACCAGAAAGTAACCATGGAATGCCTAATATGTCATCTGTAGCCTCTGCTGCCCTCTCAGCATAGGGCATTAACCCCCATGTTTAGAAGTTACTGGGAGCCAGGAGCTGCAAAAACTTTTCTGCTAATCAGGCCCATCACACACACTTAGGACTTATCCTTTACCGAAAGCTAAAGTCTGTAAGGTGCCCTCTGATCAACTCCCCCATTTGCTTCCCAGACTTCAAAAGAGTTGAAGGTTCTCAGTATCTCAGAGGAAAACTTATTTCCATACAGGATCAAGCCCATAATTAGTGCAATATCCTAAACAGAGTGTGTTCTTTCCCACCACAAAAGCAAATTCATCATCCACATCAACGTCAAGTTACTCACACCAGTAAAACCTAAACTTTTCAGACACTTTGCCTGACTTGATGGCCATAACAGGTGTGCAGCACCAATAATCAAAATGAAACCCACAAAGGTACAACATACTAACCTGTGACTCCTGTTTTAGGATACAGGAATTGGAAAAATTCCTCTGGGATAAACCCATGACGAACTTGCCCTCCTTCCTCAGGGAGAGGTGGTAAAGGAACCAAGCAGCGCTGACCTGTGTGAAACGGTCTAGACGCATGCAATACACTATGAGTAAAAAGAGATTTTCTGTGAAGTGTTTTTTTTTTTTGCAAAGGAATAAAGTCTCAAATTAAGTTAGGTCACTTGTTCTTATATGCGGGCCCCAAAATCTTTTCAGTTATAAAGAAGTCAAAACTGTATACCAAACGTTCAAAATAGACTTTGGTTAACGCACATACAAACTTACCCTTGGTAAACACATCTATTTATTTGCCTAGATTGGGTAGATTTTACCCAGTTTCACATAAGCAAATGGGCACACATGGAGGTTGAGGTATATGGAGGGAAAAAAAGACCTTCATGATCTTGTCTGAAGATTCACAGCAGAGGCTTCTTAAATGAGAAATTGTAGCAAATCTATACTTCTACAAGAACACTTTTCAGTTCTTTAATTTTCCACTGAAGGATTTCAAGATGCTTAACAAAAAATTATTCTTACACATGCATAAGGGAAGCAAATTCTATTACCACAATTTAACAAGTAAATAGACTGAAAAATTAGGTGACTTGCTCATGGTCCAACAAACTCAAGCATCCCAACCTCCAGAATCCTGATCATATTAAAAAGTTTGATTAGAAGCTACCTGAGTGTTGCCAAAGCAGGGCGGATAATACCACTCAAATAGCTGCCAGAAGGTAGTTCAAAATATTAAGGCCTGATTAACACACAAAGTTGCACCATTCAAGCTAAATGTGTTATTTTATACCAATTTAAACTGGTCTAACTTTGTTGATAGGTTTGAGCTGAAATAAGCCTTTTGATATTGTATTTGCTGGTACCTGTAATAGGCAGAAGCTAGCTAAACCAACATAACCAGTTTGGAAATTACCCCCTCTGTAAAATGCCTGGAGATCTACTCACAAAAAGTGCGATATAAAAACTAGACATCACTCCAGTAAACAGATACAATAGTGTATACACACATTGGTTGAATTAAGCTGGCATAGGAGTTAAACCAGCACAACCTCAGTGCTTCAGCAAATGCTTCATCGAACCTCAAGAGGGATTCACCGAAGCAACTTTAGCTCCATGCCGAGGTAGGTCATTTCTAAGCAGCCAGCAACTCTAACCCCCAGCCCCAGGAATGGGCCCCCGAGAGTCTTAATTCCTAGCCCCCCTTCTCCCCACTAGACCCCACTAGAAAGAGAACCCCGGAGTCCTGACCTCCCCCCCAGCGAGGAAAGAGAACCCAGGAGTCCTGACCTCTCTCCTCCCCCTCCCCCAGCGAAGAAAGAAAACCCAAGAGTCCTGACCTCTCTCCTCCCCCAGCGAAGAAAGAAAACCCAGGAGTCCTGACCCCCCCCCCCCCCCCCCCCCCACGGCCAGAGCCCCGGCGCCTCGCCCGGGCCACACTTACCCCACGGAGA